TATGTAGTTTTGTGCCATGGATTTACAAGTTAAAAAGACCGTCACGGCAGTGACCAAAAACAAGTGCTGCGCAAGACGTAAACCTCCTCTACAAACTCCTTAGTTAACATGGAGCCCTTGAAGCCGTGTCCTCTTTCGGAAATTTATCGCATTTTCAATCTTACTTAACACTAACCATGTCATAACAACGCATTCCTTGAATGTAGNAGTTTTCAGGTTTGTCCTTTGGGCAAGTCGTGATGTACATGTACCCGCGTGAAAGTCCATCTAAAAAGCCCCGGAAAACGTTTTCTCTGACAGTATTTCTATAAACTGAATTTGCTCATAATTTTCCCCAAGAAACTTCACTTGCACATCGGACAAGAGAAGAACAGACTGCAATAGCCCAACTACAAAATCCACTAGCCCTAATCTACATGTATCGGACATAACTTTCTTTGCACGCTTGGATAGTAAGCTACTGAAAACTCCTGGCTAGTGAGGTCATTTTTTACGTCCCATAGCGACATGGGTCCTGACTATATTGCCCAATCAGCAATGTCATGGCAAAATAAAGTGAGTGATATGAATGAAGTGAGAGTGAAATGTGATGATCAGTGAAATAATGTTTATCAACTTTGACGTCATGAAAATGGGACAATTGGGAGGAATGTAGGCCAGAGTCGAGAGAGCTGCAGAAATCGAGGCTATGATAGGGTTTGAATCTGTGACTTCATGTAATTGTCAGTCAGATGCTTTAACCACTGAGCTGCTGAGAACTCCTAGCAAGCTTAAGGATCATTTTACTAGGCTTCACAAATTGCATTGTAGCCAAGAGTTTCAGCTCCAAGTGCAAATATATGCAAGTCAGAAATAAGTTTACCTGTTGCGTCATTTACAGACCAGCTTTCAAACAAAATGGTCACACTCTTGCTAAAATGAAAATACATCTGTGAAGACAAAGCAAAGAATTCAAAAATACAGTACTGACAAGTTAGACATTTATAGCACTTTATAGATCACTTGCCATAAGAAATCCCTCAAACATTCAAGAAAACTTTGGAAACCATTTGGCACTAAATTAATATTACATTTTGGACCCAAAAACTCTTGTTTGGACAGAGTTGGAGTAATACCCTGTTTGAAGAAAAATATTCAGTCTTAAATTATCATTTCAGAGCCTGCAGACTAGACTTGTGGGTTTTGTATATATGATAGTCATGTGCACTGCACGGCTAATACTGACTACTTGAGGCTTTAGATAGGACAATGAAAATTTCACACTAAAATGAATAATTAAACCACAACCTGTGTGTACACATGTACTGTATGTGACTGTGCAAGCATATAGGTGGGTTTAAAATGTAATACAATAATAGTTATGTTAGTTGCAAAGGAAAATTCAAAATGACACATACATACTAAAGGAAAAAATTATTTAAAAATTGTCTTCTAATTTTCTTGGATACCAAGAAACGAAATTTAGAGCTGGCTGTTAATCTAATATAAATTACATTACTTGCATAAAAAGATACAAAAAATTATTTGCTCTGGCTCTCAAATTAGGCAAGTTTGGAACTTAACAAATTATTTTTTGAACCCCTGCCATCTCGGCATTACTGCCTTCCATCAGGAAGACAGTAATGCGGAAATGGCTGTTGCAGTGCTTTTAACGGACAATTTAGTGGCCCCAAAAAACAGTGATAATTTAGCCTTTAATCTATCTATAGTTCCAGGTGATGCAGAATAAATTTGTTGCTTTTTTTAATTTCAAATAGGGAAGCCCTGGTCTAAATACAAGGAAAGGAAACATCGACCAGTCTGATACATCGCACATAAATATAGGGGATACATGCACATGAAAAGTTTATAATTTTTTGCCATTTGACACATTAACTAAACAGGAATGTGAGTTAAGTTTTCCATGCCAATTTATTAGCCCCACACATATAGAAGGAAAACTACTCATCACCTGGCTAGGGGGCTAGCTAGGGGCATCAGAATTGATATCAAACTTAATCGTTGATTCACAAAAAGGTTTTTTTTTTATAATATTGTTGTAGCCTTTCACCAATGAAATGAATCTGAACTAAACAGCTACCTTATCCATTGTGATGTACATTGAAATCGTTCCCTTGTATATCATCTGCTCTGCCCTGATAGTTCTAAAACTGCAATTTTCAGAAAATGCTTTTGCCATTTCATTACCTACCTTCAGTTTTGACCACATCATAAATATTTAAGTAAACAATAAGTAGACCATTATTAATTATCCCATCTCCTTTTAAGTTTTTTTAATGCCAAAAGTTATACAAATGCTTAATTTTAATTAAATAATGGTAATTTTCTTATGTTCCTTGAGCTACATTTCTTCAAAAACGTAGATTTGGCAAAAAGAACATTCACAAATTGTAAATTATTATGTAAAATATAAGATTGACACTAGTACCGTTATTAGAGATGCATGTTTAACAATAAATTATTTTAAACATTGTACTTTGTTGATTGACAGGTATCCCATAGATCAAAACAAATTCCCTCAAAACAAATGCCCACAGTTTGTGACATGACAGATAGTTTGATTAATGATTATGCTAATGTCTACTATACATGGAACAAAAGGAAAGTTCAAGCAAATTTCTGCATACATAATTAATAGGAAATGAAGACAAAACAGCTCTGGGAAGATGCAATTAAAGTCATTACTGAATTTACAATAAGAAAGCATAAGTTTCTGCATCAAAGCAAGTTAATCCAAATCTTCAAAATAATTTAATAGATGGAAAGTGAAACTAGTGTACACATACAGGTATATTTATCGGTTGCTCCTCACTGTATAAGGTACAAGTTATAATTAGCATGTAATTAAAACTGGTATTTGAAACAGGTCCAATACATTTTGCTTTCTTGACGTCATACAAACACGTATTTGATATTTGGACACCACTAGTTGCTAGTGTGTTGTTAGGGTGTTTATAAAAACACAGCTGAAATCAAGAAAGTTGTATTGTTTTAGAACAAGTAGAGGGTCCCACACCGTTAAAGGAATGTTTAAACAGTTGTGAGAAGCTAAAAGAAGCTGACACAAAGCCCTGTGAGTTAGGTGACAAAGAGCAAGTGTAAGACAAAGCGCAAATACGATGAATACAATATTGTCAATATCTTGTCATCTGGTTTCTTCTTATCATAACGACGACGCTATCAAATGAGAACAAAAAGAAACCTTTATGTTTTTTTAAAGCCAGTTGTTTTTAAAACGATTTCAAAATAAGCTAAACAGTTTAATTCCGCTTTACTCAGTGAAGTGTAATTAACAAAATAACCAGAAGTAAACCTTGCCCTTTGAACAAAAGTCGTTATGTCAGTTCACAGCTATTGTTTTCTCAATGCTAACAACAGGCCCTGATTGTATGTAGGGTACAACAAGTCCGAATGAGCCCGTTAAGTCTCGTTCTTTTACAAAATTTACAGCTGAAAGAGTCGTGATGGCTGTATTAATACATCACATCACGATATCTTAATTGTATACTAAACAACAAGCGGGGTAAAGTATTGAGAATTACTTGTAATCCTGAGGGTATAAAACAGAACTTATTAGCTCGCCGTGGACATTATCAACTTTCTAAATGTTTGGCACAGCTTGTACGGTAAATGGATTCATGAAGAATCACGAACTAAAAGATGCGGCAACCCAAGTCACGAGAAGCTATTAAACGTGATGGTGTCGCTTTCAAGGAAGTTGAACATTGCTTGGTAACGATTCCAACAAAAACTTAGGGCACACTTTGAAGAAAACAGTGTAATTGTAATAGTTACCTCTTTGACTAGGAAACATTTTTTGTACGAGATGAAAGCAAAAGGGAATTAATTAAAATCAACAAACCATCATTCCATGTCCCATCATATCATCATGTCCCATTTGATCATGATCCATCGTTGGTGTTGTACCGTTGTTCAGCATTGTCGACGCTGTCGTCATCTCCATATGTCCGCCATGGCCACCGTGACTCATTTTGCGTTAAATCCAACGAAAACTACGATAAAAATAACCAGATCAGAGCCCGAGATGAAGCTTTGAATGCACGAACTGTCTGCCAACGAGCGCGAGCAACGCAACTCCGTTCAGTCGGAAAAAACGTCGGTACCAGTCCTTTCTCGTAAATCTCAATTGACACTTCCGGGTATCATACTTCCGGTCTGAGGTGCCCATGTTCCCCTTGGCCGGTGAAATAAATTGTGGTTGTCTAGAAAATGTTAGTGCATAGATCATCTTATTAATATTAGAATAGCGTCTTTCTATGCTTTTGAAAAGATTGTAAAGGGGTAGTCGAAATGGAAAATCCGTAACAACTCTTGATTGTAATGTTAGTGTTTAATTATAGTTAATATGCTTTCATATGCTCTCTTCAGGAACATGCCAGCATTAAACGACTTAAAAAGTGTCACTTGGCCAGTCTCATCGATTCTCATCGACCTAGGCGAAGGAAAAAATTTTGCTATTCTTCTGACTTCCTCAATGATTGCTCACTTTCATTGGCTAATATATCTCGAAGATACTCTGAAGGCATTTATGTTGGGTGTCAGGCTTATTGTTATCAGCGTTTGTCATGCAGCCTGTGTAGCAGGCGTTTCAAGGGGAGGGGGTGGGGGAGGAGGAAGAGAATTCGCGAATTCCCCTCCTCCCCTACTCCTCCGTTTTTTTCTACCGAATTCTCTTCCTCCGCCCCACCCCCTCCCCTTTATACGCCTGCTACGCAGGCTATTAGTCATGCGTCAGGTCTCAGAACCGTATTGTATTTGAGTCTATTTGAATTTAGCATTCCAGCTCCATTTTAAAAGCCTTCCTTTATCTTTCACAGTCTGGACTGGCAATGCAATGTTTGCATGAAATTTGACTGTTTCTCTTTGACTGGGTGCTGGCATAAAATTTAAGTCATTGTAATATATTTCATACATATGTCCATTATCACATTCTTACTGATTTATAAATAGCACCTTAGCTGAACTGAGACTGTGGGAAAATGAAACGTTTGCTGTATGTGTCATTCAGGTTATGCAAAGCGAAGAGAAAAGGGGGTTGCGACAATCTATATGTCTTAAATTTAAGAAAGAATTCAATTTCATTTCAAAGAAGACATCAACCCATGATTACAGTTATCATCATAAACCTGTGGTCACCTTATCAAGTTATTTCGATTTTTTCTCGAAAAAAAATGGAAGATTGATATCTCTAGTCTTATTACGTGTCAATTCCAATCCATGACCGTCAAATGGCTCGCTGAAGTCGACGTGCCGGATTTGATCGATCGCAGCAGACGTAACCCTGAATACGATAGCAGTAATCCAAAAGACACACATACAACATATGTAGTTTTGTGCCATGGATTTACAAGTTAAAAAGACCGTCACGGCAGTGACCAAAAACAAGTGCTGCGCAAGACGTAAACCTCCTCTACAAACTCCTTAGTTAACATGGAGCCCTTGAAGCCGTGTCCTCTTTCGGAAATTTATCGCATTTTCAATCTTACTTAACACTAACCATGTCATAACAACGCATTCCTTGAATGTAGGATATCTGGTCCAAGTTAAAACTAATTCGAAAGCAAGAGCGTAATGCAGCAATCATGTTTTTTCAGTAACAATTTTTTTCCGTTATTCCCCTATGTTACCAACGTAAAGAACGTTTGGACAAGCGTATATAATACAAGACATGCGCAAATGGAGGAAACTATTTATCTAAATTTACAGTCAAATAATACGATATGCATTCATTCAAGAATAGAACGATAGGATTGCCCTGAATAAACTTATTGACCTAAGATATTGTCAAATGATTGAAACAATCTGGTTCGGCGTTCACAGTTTGTTCTAGAGATCTGTCGATAATTTGCTAAGTTTCTATTTATCACCGGACGCATTAGTTATTCTGTTTACTTTGGGAAATCTCGTATGAAAGAAAAGCAGAGTGTATGTCCACTGTTGTGTCACTTCAGACTTTGAGCGTAAAATGCTAACGGAATTTGCAGCGGGTTCTTCCAAAGCCGAGTTCATGATCAGTTTGCAGCCGGGACATAGAGTTAGATCATGGACGGAGGCTGCCACGACCCCTCGTTTACTAAACAGAGGAGCTGACTTCCAGCCTTCCCGACGACCGCGTATCAGCTCATTTGCAATAGCGGGGAAGAGCGTGGAAAGGATAAAAATCAATGTTAGTGGAAAACGGTACGAGCTGACATTCAACAGGCTGTTGAAATTCCCCAAAAGTCTGCTAGCTCGGTCAGCACGCAGAGCTTATTACTATGACGCGGAAAAGGACGAATATTTCTTCGATAGAAACCGAATGGCTTTTGAGAGTGTGTATCATTTTTACCAAACCGCCGGAGAATTTGTCCGTCCTGAACATATCCCTGACGATCTTTTGATGCAAGAAATGCAATTTTTCGGTCTTGTGCGATACATCTCTCTGCCGGAAAGTGTCTCTTCATCCGTTCCCTCGCCTGAGACAGCTAAAAGGAGTGTTCCTAACAACAGGTACCAGAGAATGATTTGGGAACTCTTCGAAAGTCCTGGATCTAGCGTTGCTGCCCGACTTGTCAACGTGCTTATGCTTTTAGTGATTGTTCTATCCATTATCGCAATGTGCATTGAAACTCTTCCAGAGTTTAATGACGCAGATATGTCGCCAGCTTCGAGGAATCATCAGCAAACAACTTTAAATCAAACTTACATCACAAGGAAACAACTGGAAAGCCGCAATCGAAGAGAGACTAATCTCAGCTTGTCAACTAAACTTAAGAAACTTTTTATTGTCGAGGCGTTCTGCGTTGTCTGTTTTTCGCTGGAATTATTAATCCGCTTCATTGCGTCTCCTGATAAACTACGTTTTTTTTGGAACGTTCTGAACATTTTTGACCTCCTCGCTGTGCTTCCATTTTATGTCACTCTCGCTATTTCTGGGCAGTCTCTGACCGCAATACAGTCGGCCTACGTTCTGCGCGTGTTGCGTTTGACACGCGTATTTCGCCTGGTTAAAATTTACCGCTACAGTTCAACGGTGCAGGTGTTTGTCAAAACCATCCAGGAATGTATCAAAGATTTTCTAATGCTTGGCTTCTTAATTTTGCTGACCATGATCGTGTTTGCAAGCTGCTGCTACTACTTCGAACAGGAGCATGAAGGGACCAATTTTGTGAGTATTCCTGCGGCCTGCTGGTGGGCCATAATAACAATGACCAGCGTTGGGTATGGAGATATGGTCCCTGTTACCCTTGGTAAGTTGTATGTATCCTCTGTCTGCTAGCTAATCTGCCACAAGGGGGCAGTCTATGTCCCTTAATGAGAAATCTCCGATCGCGAAATGCCATAAGTTAGTTTACAAATGTTAAGCATTGTAAGTTTTGTTTGTCCTCAGGTAAGGCTCCTATCTTGTAAAATTTTGAAACGGATCTCTACAACCGAGGCACCTGAAACATCTCGTTTTCGTCAAGAACACCCTTACGGTGGTAATTGTAGACTTTTTTATTTCTACTCTTTTTTATCTGCACCCTTGCATGAGAAGAGTTTAGTTTTGGAGTAAAAAGATCTAACATGTGCCTTTATCGGGTCTAAACAACGACTTTTAAGTCCTAAACCGACGATACACGACGATCACTCTCGCTATGTGGAAGAACCCCTCTTTCCCCACCCCTCCCCCCTTCAGTGTTTCGATAGCGCTTGTCATGTTGGAGTGAATTCTCCTTTACCAGTCGTCATGGACTGCTGCTTCTACACTGTAAACTGAATACAACTCCTAAAAGTAAGAGCCCACAAATCTCAGACGCTTCTTTTAGTCGCAAAGTCCGCCGGCTGCTTCCGCTTTGAGCTATTTCTAATACGTTTCCTTAGTTTATTGGGAACTTTTCGTCAAATCAGACTTCTCTTCAGCTTGTACGATAATTACCTGTGGTTTGACTAGGCTAAAACCTCACGGCATTTCTAGTTTAAACAAAGCCCGGTCTAGACAATGGTTGTGACATGCATGTTTCGCAGACCTACTTAGTTTGGAACTGATATACACTCTGGTTTGTTGTCTTCTTGTTGTTTCAGTAGACTCTGTACATGCAGACGATTTTGAGGTCTGTCGATCCAGAAGCTCTGGATGTATTCCCTTCTGCTATTCCCTTCTGGTCCCTACTAACCCAAACGCAGACATAGCTGACAAGTATTAAAATTTTTACCTCCGAAAACATTGTTACGATAACACTACTGACATTTATGTTTTAAATTATTCTGTTTCAGCAGGTAAGATAACAGGCGCACTTTGTGTGGTGTTTGGAATAATTATTATAGCTCCTTTACTGCCAATCATAGCCTCTAAGTTCAGTGGCATGCAGGAGAAAGCCAGACTTGAGAGAGCGTTGGCGTTGGAAAAGCAGACCTCAAATGACGATTCTTCTGAGTCTTCGGATGATGCCAGTAACACCTCTGAGTCTTCAAAAGATACGGTAAAGGCTGTAACGTTTGCTGAGCAACAAGGAACATTTAAGAACCCGAAATACAGCGAGCGACCTACATTTGAGACTCCAGGGTACAGTGGACGACCGAGAAGCATTACTGTACATTAGTGATGGACTCGAGATGTACGGAATTCTTATTGATCCAGCCAGCAACAAAAGACGATAATCATGGTCTCTGCCTGCAGTCATTAGAATCATGCTGTGAGCTATGAAGATGATCGTGAATATAATGTGCTACTGAAAATGGCAATTTTGCGTTCCGATCTTTAAATAAAGAGAAGAAATATTCCGAAGTCGAGTCAAAATAAGTTCATAGACAGCAGTCTTAGTAAGTCTGGGCTTGAAACATTTCATCCCGTGGTTACTGGACACCCCCTGTAGTAAGTAAGTGGACCTAGTAAGCTAGTAAGTGGACTCTACCAACAAAGTTATCATGGATGACCGCTAAATACAGTTTTCAATGTAGCTGTTTTAATATAGGAAACCCCTACATCATATGAAAAGAATCACGTATTTTCGCTATGTATTTCGCGCTACATGTACATCTATTCTTATGGGATATGAGCTGATACCTCGCTGTTTGCTTGTTACCAGTGCCATGCCAATACAATAGAGAGTTCACTGCGAGTTGGTCATGCATATCTAATAAGTAAAAATTAAATGTAGCCTACTCATTTTCTCTTGAGCCTACATAACATAGCCTACGCGAGATATTACAAAATGCTCTTAAAATTCCACGGGCCGTTGGCCGAGGGCAATTACGAAAAAAAAAAAATTGAATATCATTATTACGTGCCTGAGAAAATTACGACTGCACCTGCATTACTCGACACAGTAATCTAAACTAAAATTAAATGCACAGTCAATGGTCCCAGAGGTTTTTCTTGATTTTTCTCTTCTCTTGATTTTCTCCGCATGAAGACGTGTTCGCCGCTTCGCGAAAAGAAGAAAAATCAAGAAAAACCTCCAGGACCAGGGTACCCGTTTGAAGGATGGTTCTTGTTTTCCACCAAAATAGTACCCATTCCCGACTAGAAGCTCTAGTTTGAAGTGAGGACGGGAGAGCTCAGGAGGAAATGAGAGGAACCAAATAAGTGGCGATTAAGGCTGTAGTCCGATAGCTGAAACTGTAGCTGAAAGGGAACGACCCGGTTAACGTCTTACTTAGAAATAATGCGACTGGAAGGGTCAAAGTCTCTTCCATTCAAGTGATTCTCCATCCCCCTCCTCCCCTTACAAATCAAATGTCCCTGCTCTTGCTGTGGAGCCTATGATATTGCCGCTTAATTAAAAACTGGATCATTGGATAATTCAATACAAGAGTTTTCATTGGCTTAGCAATCATGATACATGAGCCATTTTACTATGCTCTACAAATATTGAAAGCGCGCGTGTAATTTTTGGTCGCGTTTTTATTTTCATTCTACTCTAGTTTATATATGGTATTTGCCGGCTTAGGGTCGGTCCGTATAGTGAAAAACTGTGACCTCAGGCTTGAAAATGCTGTCCGGGCAGCATTTTCAAGACCTCGGTCACAGTTTTTCACTATACGGACCGACCCTAAGCCGGCAAACAACTCTTGTCATTGAATCGGCTTGCGCGCCGTCTTCTAACGATTTGTAAAAAATCTCGGCAACGGGTGAGTAACTCAGATAGTAGACAAAGAAAGATGTATTAAAGAACAGATTTTTTTGGAACTTCTTTAGGTTACTTGCATTTATTTCATCGGTTAAGTTCTCCAAAATTGTTTCTGCGGTGTGAAATTTCGTTCGACGTTTAAAGTTTTACTACAAAAACAATTTCTGTCAGTCGTTGCTTTTAGAATCACTTGAAATCAGACTTTTCTACCGTAAATTGAATAGCAGAAAGTGGGGAAATTTGTTGAGTGTATTCCACAGAAATTCTCCTAAACACAGCAACGATCAGAGAGGTAAACTCGACTGAAACTGACCCAAATTTTACGGCGAGAGAAACACAGGATTACGCCCCATTACAGCGCCAAGCCACAAACAACCAAGCAAACTCTCACAACTTCAAAACACTTAATTGAATTCACTTACAGCGACTTTCCTTGCCATTCTAAAGTGAACAGAGATAAACTTGCGTTGACTAATGGTCGATGGACGTGTAAAAAAGGCAAAAGATTGACGATTACCGCTAACTTTTAGAAGCGAAATTTAGGCAGCGAAGAAAAAATCCGGCCCGTGGGCCGTATCGTAAAAAGCTGGACCGGTCACGTGCGCATGATTGGCCAATCAAGTTCGAGGATTTAGGAATCCGGCCCGCTCAGATGCTTGATAAAAAAATAAAAAATTTTATTCACTCGCGCTTGTTGTATCAGGAGGCTTGGATATGAGATGATTATAGCCAACTATACGCTACGCTCATCACTGGCTATCTGTCATCTCATATCCAACGAGCGCTCGTGGAATAATTGTTACAATAATTATAGTCTGCCGGTACAAAATCCTTGCGACCCCTCAGTCTTCCGGCTTTCCGAAAGGAATACAGTCAACTAAAGTAATTTCAAGTGCTTCCCAAACCCTAACCCGAAGCCCAGAATCAGTAATACTTTCTCCTGAGTGTTAGCCCTAGAATGGAAATTGGGTACTACATGAAGCACATAAAAATTCCTTTGGCCTACGTGTTCTACCGAGCCTGCTATGTAAGCTTACGTGATGTGAAGCATTTTGTTTACATATCACTGAAGCTCCTGCGGAAGAAATTAAGACAGCTAAGAAGTTCCTGTTGATAGGAAGCTAGTGTACGTCCTTGAGCACTGAAACTAGAAACGAGACGTGCTACGGGTAATCAGACGTAAAGAAACGCGCTCCATTGAGACGTAAGTGCTGTAATGAGATGTTTTGTAGAACCCCGTGAGAAAGACGTTTTAATTTAAAAAGACATTGGCCCAACCACAAAAACCAGGAAACAAATACCCTCAGCGGAAGAACAGCGGAAGTTAATATTAATACACCACTCTGGAAAGACTGGAGAGGAGTGCTTGAACGCCTGGCGATGTCTGCATAGGGGATCTTGTGGCAAATGACATGACCGTTCCAGCGAAAACCGCGGAGCACGATTCTATCTCTGAGTGACGCAGACAATTATTTCGGGATCTTTACGAAAGAAACCGTCGAATACATCCTCCTGCAGGCAGCCAACCCGTGGTGTTCTAGGATTAGGAAGTTGGTTTGCTTGTTTTTATTCAGATACTCATGTTTAGTTAATGACATCCTGGAGCAATAGGAATTTTCCTCGCAAAGCCACCATGGACGTAAGCATATTTTTTTACTCAGATGTCTTTTCTTTTCTTTTCGTTTCTTTTCTGTAGTTTGTTCTAATGTTAAACGTTAAAACGCAGCAATCTGCGATGACCCAGTGGGCCTCCAATTTCGATTTCCTGTTTTGCCCTAAGGACATGTTTTTACTGGTAGGGAAAATGAAACTTAAAAACAGATTGAAACGTCGCTGTTATCGTGGTTTTACACTCTCTGTCGGGGTCATGTGTTGGTGATTTGGGTTCTTACCATAATTTCATAAACTTGGCACTATTGGGTTATGATTGTAAATTAAAATGTTTAATTCACCCCACTAATTACCTTTACAATATCGTAGGGAAATTCATGATCTCGTATTCTTCTTTAAATGTTTTGAGAATATGTATAATTTAGATATTTTGGACTTTGTATCGTTTCGAACTTGCAACAAGCCTTTGAGAAAGATTGATTATCTAACACTCAATGTCCCGTTTAGTCGCACAGAATCTTTTAAGAACTCACATTTTATGCGGGTTTGTCGCTCATGGAATGAACTACCTCTTAACATCCGGGAGTCTAACACCTTGTCAGTCTTCCGCAAGAATTTATTTGCTTATTTTTACGATAAGTTCAGTGCTAATTTTTTATCGTGATTATCTTATTTTTTAATATGAGTTTAGAGTAATTTTTAACTAGGTATACAATCATACAATGATACACTAAGGCGGCTTATATTAAGGAATCTTGTATTCTGTTTTAAGCTGCCCTCAAATTTACTGGATTGACTTGTTCAATGTAATGTAATTTGGAATTTGTGTTAAAGATTAAAGATTAAAGATGTATAGTGATGACAGTTAATAATAACTCGTGATAAGCATGTGACTTCCATTTTCAGTTCATTCACTCAGATTGATTTCCATGTGATGCGTACTGCACTGTTTGTTTTTGTAGTTTCTTCTGCTCCCTACCACTCTTTGTATGGGCAGAGAGATTTCTTTGAAGTAGTAAAGGATTGCTTTCACTTGTCAATCATGTATTTGACTTCTACTTACATATTTCCTTCAAATAAACCTTTTTCTGCATGAACCAAACAGGACTCTTTGTGTTCTTTGGTTTTCGTCTGATAGGTATTAATTTTCCTGCTGTCCACTTCCCAGATTTTCACTGGCAAATTTTTCATTACATTTAATTTAACAAAATATTTGAATGTTGTATCTGTAGGATAATGTGTACAAAAACTCAAGGCCTACTCTTCACTCAAAAATTATGTCTGGTTATAGTTTGCAAATCATTTATCTGGAACTTACAACAATGTTGTATCTAGCTATTTTACTTTTAGGTAATTGTAAAGTTTCTTATTGGTTTGAGGTAAAATCTCTGAAACTAATACCATGAAGTCCCTGGGGAGGGTACTCCCAGAAAAATTGGGTGGGGGTGTGCGGCCCACTTCCCAAAACCCTTACCCTATTTATGACCTAAATCTGCAATATTCCCTACCCTATTTATGACCTGACCCTTAACCCTGTTTCAGACCTGCATTATAATTAGTTCCCTAGTTCAGACCAAGGCTAAATTACTGAAAATATAGTTTGTGAAGGGCTTTTGTTGATTTTTCGATAATGATGAAAAAGTGTTTTTTTCTTAAAAACATACCCATATCAAGGCTAGATTGCAAAAACCATACCCTATTTATGACTAAAATGGCCAAAATCAGCTAAAATCGATACCCAATTTATGACCAAAACGGCTGAAAAACCATACCCTTTGGGNCCCCCCCCCCCCCCACCCAGGCATGAAGTTAAGTGAATGATAGTTCTTCTGCCATGAAAATGCAGTTTTAAGGTCATGAAGAGCTGAAGTTCCTATGGATTTCCAAATATCTGAAAACTCCTAGATATGGACTGCCTCTTATACCCACTGTATGTACTTACAAAGCAAAATAGCCATGAAAATGTTCACTGCAATAATTTGTTGTCTTTTCCTAGATGTCATTTGTTGCTTCAGAAAATGTTACAATTTTGTTTAAAAGCTGGAAAGTGTCAAGTGTTGGAGGTAGAGTACTTTCCTTTGTTTTGTCAATTACAGTTGAAAATAAATCTAAGATTGTAAATTTAAAAATATGATATATGATCCCTTGCAGAAGTGGTAAACTTTGTTATTTTTAATTTCAGGATTGGTTGGTTCATGCATTGCAGTAATCGTAATTGCTGTTTTCTTTGAGAGCCTAAAGTCTTACAAAGTCCACAGACATAAACCATGCAGGAGAAGTTCTGAAAAGACTCCGCTTATTAAACAGCCACATAAGATTCAGATGAGGTATTTGATTGTGTAGGACTATAGGTGTTATTGTGGTATTACCTTCAGTTGTTAATTGAAACATTTAGCGTTAGATTTCCCAGTTTATCATACTGTAATAAATCTAAATCTTAACTGTCCACTTTAACTAGTTGTTTTCCTGTTATTCTTAACCAAGCAGGCCATTTTTGTTCCATAACAAAGTGTATTTCTTTTCTGGCTTACTACCTATTAAATGTTCACAATTTTTTTGTTTGTCTGTAACGAGACCAGTCTCAGAGACTGAGTTGCATGCCTCCATTTTAAATTAAAGGAAGTCTCCCACATGTCACTGAGAAAACAGTTTTTTCCTGCATTTACTGTAAAAGAAACCTCCATTCAGCGGACACCTCTGTTAAGCGGTCCTGGACACCAATATTAAGGACATTCGCAAATAGTTTTACAGCAGAACAAAGCAGTTTTTTTAATATTCTATGCATTTTTAACAGATTGGGCACTGAATAAAACAACTAGACTTGGTTTTTGATAACCACAGTGCTAATTGACTTTGGTAATCTAGAGGGCTCCATAATTTTTGAAACTGCTAAAATTGAAAGGGTGAGGGGAATAAAGCTGCGAGTGACTTCTGATCAACTGCTAGATTCTCCTTCCAGTTCGTATTGTATATGCTCATTTAATGAAGGGAGAATTTGGCTATAGATCAGGAGTCACCTAGGGCCTTATTCCACTCCTGATCTGAAGCCAAATTGTTACATGAGCATATACCAGACAAACTGGAAGGAGAATCTAGCAGTTGATCAGAAGTCACTTAAGGCTTTATTCCACTCGCCCCTTCAATTATAGCTGGCAATTCACAGCAGAGCACCAGCCAGAGCTCTTGTAGACATCAGGTCCTGTTTATATAGTGAAGATGAAACTATTTTTGCACTGAGAGTGAGTTCTCTTTGGCTTGATTTTTGATGTTTTGTTTTCTTATCAGGTTTGAGATGACTGATCACCTCAAGAAAACTTGTCTGTTTTTTGTCCAGTTCCTTTTTGGTTACTTTTTGATGCTGGTAGCCATGACGTACAATGTTTGGTTGTTTCTGGCTGTTATCATTGGTTGTGGTTTAGGTCATTTTCTAGCAGCCCCTTACATAGAGTATTTCTTTAACAGGCGCAAACATGCCAGTGAGGTATTTGATAGTGGCATAGCCTCTGCATCAGCACCAACTTTTAGTTTATGAAATAATGTCACAAATCAATCTGTTGTACTCGGAGGAGTATTGATGTATATGTATTGATTTGACTTAAAACAGGGATATGACTGCCACATGCAGTAAATGTGAAATGAAGGCATGTAAGTCCTGCCTTTGGCACAGCTACAATAAGGGAAATGTCTTAAACTGAAATGATACAACACCTTGGGCAGAAAATTTAATTAGGACAGGTCTTCCATAATGGTTTTGCTGTCCTATCCCAAGTTGTTTTCAATTTGACTTTGGGGGTGTGCACTATTAAAATAAGTTTATTATTAAACAAAAGTAACAAATTGAACGATGCTACAACCAAATAATATTATCATTACTGTACAAATGTATGTTGAAGATATCAGGGCATTATGTCTTGATTGATGCTGCAACATCAATTTCATAGTGCAGCACCAGATGTGACAGATGGTGGCAGTTTCTTATCCAGAAATGATGATTTGATGGTGGCATGGGGTGAACACAAAGTCAAAACGTTTTCACCCAAAGGGTTTCAGTGATTCTTGCTTAAAGCACTAGCTGTTGTTTTCACATTTTCCAAGTGCCATTTTCCTTTTTTATCTAGTAGTTCCTGTGATGTGTGTTCCAGCTAGTACTGTAAAAGGTACAAGTACTAGGATAACTCTTATATTTAACGATTATTCCACAAGCAAGCATTGGGTATGAGAAGAAAGATATAGCTAAGGAAGTGCATAGCATCTGTTTGGCTAAAAATAATCATCTCATATCCAATAAGCAAGAGTGAAATAATTGTTTTTATTAACAATTGCCCAAAATACGGAAAATTAAAATATAGTGAAAATAAAAATGCCCAAAAATATTACTAACAAGTCTTTAGTCATAGTACTTTTGTGAACTCAACTTATGGCATCTTGGTCCATAAATCAGTCCTGATGTTGGTTCCCTCAAGTAAACATAATTTGATCATAAATATATGATGAGAGGCATAAGAACAGCTTGGCACTCAAGTTTACATTAACATGCTTCAGGTTTTTATGATGTGTAGTCACATATTACATAAAGAGAAATAAAGAGAAATGAACAAAACAAGAGAGGCTTTAATTAAAAATCAATTTCAGAGATGAGTAAAGACTTCTAATGTAATATATTGACCTGATTTTGAAATAATTATTTACAAGGTATTTATAGCCTATATAGCTGTGATTTGTAAAGGACTAGATATATTACGAACAGCTGGCAGTATGTATAATAAAATTAGATAAAAAACCGTGTGTGTGATACTTGAGATTTAAATTTTTCTTTTCATATGAATGCACTTTATTTTATTGCATACAACATAGCCTCCAGCCCTAACATCATTTGAACACCAGCTTTTGACACTAGGTTCTTTGGGGTCATTGTCCACACCATTTTGAGACTTAACCTCTAAGATCCATGCCCAATCTCAGATGTTAGACCATTTTTGTATATAGAATTTTCAATCATGCTTTGATGTATTATACAGTAATATTTTTGTGTGAGTTCTCTTTGTTTTCTTCTTTATTTAAAATTAAAAATGGTGCAATGGAAAAGAAAAAAAAAATTGTGTATCGTAGATATATGTTCACAATCTCATACCAAAGGGCACAATCTGAATTTGTGACTCACTCTCACACCCAAACAACTTGGTGGGGATGGAGGGGGGGGGGGGGAGAGGGTAACCCTGCTATGGACTAGTATCCCATTCCAGGAGTTGGGAGGGAAGTACTCCAGGTTGCTTCATGTTAAGGAAAAACTAGAGATAAGTGCCAGTCTGATGGCCCATTGGGTCTGACTGCAGACCTGGGCACTGCTGTTTTGACCAGCACCTCCAGTTTCATATTGTTCCTAACCTGTTGAACCTATAGGAAATTTTTTCGGGCCTTTCTTTGAGTGCTGGATGCGATTGAGTCGCGTTGTTTTACCTTTGTTTCTCGTTCATAGTATTTTGAACGGTATTTTTTCTTGTTTTTTTTTTTTTTTAAGATTTCTTTTATTTTACGTCATCCGTGACCACGCGGATTCTTACAGAAGGAACTATTTCCCCTTGTATTACATTAATTCCCTGTGTTTCTGGAAGCGCACACCTAACGGTACTTTCCGAGGAGAGCCGACGTGACTGTGTTTGCCGGTCAACAATCACAGTAACGTTCAATTATGCATAGTATTAAGGAGTTTATGAATGTAATCCAAAAGGTGTTGACTTGAATCGTTCATGTTACCAAACTACCGAGTGTTCGTTACTTCCGTTTCCCTAACCTAAAAATCCGGAAGGGTCTGGAACCAAGTGGTTTCTTTCGGTTTCTACTACGACAAAAGGCGGAAGTTGCAGTTCACATGTAAGAGACAATGTTTTACTTTTATGCGTGTTATTTACTTCATTTTCCCTAGAATTCAAGATTTCGAAACTAAGCGATGTAAAGATTCAGTATGGAGAGGTGACTGGTTGTTTTGTTTCCTTTATACATTTCAGAGAATCCCTTTTAGCGCCGCCGCTGGGTCATCGAAACAGTGCATGTAACAATAAGAGAATGACTGGCGTGGAGAAATATTCTTATCACGAAATACGCGGGCTTTTCGACAACGGGTCACTGGGGGATATACAAAAGGTTTCTGAAGAAATTGGACTGGACACCGTTGTTAGGCGCGATAAATGGACCTTGCTTCACGTAGCATCAGCCACAAATAGACGAGATATAACACAATACCTCATTAATATGGGAAGTGATGTGAATGTGCTTGACAAAGAAGGCAAGTCTCCTCTATACTATTGCAAATCTGAGGAGGTAGCCAAGATGATGGTCGATGCCGGTGCTGACGTGAATCGCCCCAGCGTACTAGGGAAGACACCTCTACATCATGTATGCATATCAGACGCTACCCCTGGGGCAGTGAAAATCCTTCTACAATCTGGGGCGCGAGCAAATGCTGAAGACAAGTTTGGTGATACGCCTTTCTTGTATGCTTGTGGCATGGCCTATTTCTGTATAAACGAAGAAGAGTTTGCACAAAACCTGCCAAAGATAAAAATGCTTCTTGAATACGGAGCTGATATTCACCATGTCAATTCAAAAGGTGAAAATGGATTGCATGTGTGTAGTCGATATGGCGCTTGCGAAGTAGTCGAAATACTGACGAAACATGGCGTAGAGGTCAATGCCTTGAACATGAAACATCAAACACCCTTGGCAACGGCTTGTACCAGAACCGCTTTTGCACTTCATGGACAGCAAGGAATCTTGACCACATTGGAACTCCTGTTGGAGCATGGTGCAGATCCGATGATACCAGATGAACAAGGGCTGACACCACTACACGTGTTGATGCTTCAACTCTGCAGTTCCATAGATATTGCATCGTTTGTCGAAGTTTTAGTACGATGTGGAGCTTCTATGAATGCTCGAGATGACATGCTTCGCACTCCTGTACATTATGCAAGCTACGCAACTGCCCATCGAGACTGGCCAGAAAAACTGAAAGAGCTGATGTCATTTGGGGCAGACGTGAATTTGCAAGATGTGGAGGGGTTTACAGCTGTTCACGTCACTACAATACGTGATCCCAGGCACCTCACAACATTTCCGTGGCCATGGGATTGTATAGATGAAACTGAGAATGTGGTGCAAGAGATCAATTGGAATTGTGCTCGAAAACAAGGCGTAACATTGGCTCACATGGTTTTATCTCAAAAAGGACTTACCCTTCAAGGGTGTAAAGTTCCATGGGACGTAAACGCACGAGACGAGTTCGGGTCAACGCCATTACACTATGCAGAATTTTCAAACAACACCATCGCAACCTCGTATTTGGAAGTGTCGTTCACGAGGGCAGACGCCACTATAAAAAATTGTTTGGGTGAGAGTCCCATCGATTGTGCAGTGTCTGTCCTTAACCAAGAAATGCTATCGTTACTTCAACGTTATGGAGAGACACCGGCCCCAGAAAAAGAGAAAAGATTGCCTGACATTTCATGTAAGCTGTGCGCCTGTTTTACCAACGAAGGTAGAGGTAACTATTATCAGCCCTTTGAAAAACAAGAAGAGCTGATTTCAGTGGATCCTGAAGAAATTCAAATTAACCCGGCAAGAAAGATGGAAGAATACTTGTCCCACGTTCTGCATACGCCGAGGATGGGAAAGGTACCACTTCATGATTCAGAGGTAGTCCAGATTCACCAGGAGACAGAAAACCTGATCAGACAAATTCTTCAGAAGGTAGCTGACCAGGATCGTCGTTTTCGGTCGACACTGATACTGTCGGGTAGTGTCCGTGAGAAAACCAAGGCCGGTCTACCCAATGAATTTGACTTTATGTGCAATCTCGAACTATTCAGCTCTTGCTGTAAAGTGATTGACGAAGACACATGTTCTCCTGGCTTTGTACATTTGGAAGGAACTGATGCTGACAGCGCAAACATTGCCGAATTTTTTGATGCTGATGGATTTCTTGTGCCATATCTGGTCAGATCAAAATTTGAACAAATCGTGAGGGTGGTAATGTTTGATTCCAAGCTGTGGAAATGTTGTCGGATTTGTTCCAATTTCATTCTCCCCAGTTTGGACACAGGTATTAGCCATCCCAAACCGTCGATCATCATCGAACTCTGCTGGAATGGTCCAATCTACAAGAACATGGTGTACTCAGTCGATCTGGTGCCTGTCATAGACGCGGGGCTGTTTTGGCCACAAAATGCCATCTCGACCAGTCGTGTTTTAGAGAACATACCCAAACAGTGCCTTTTCGCCATGACCATTCCGCGCTTCGAACGTGGTGTTTATGGTAATGAAGTGAGAATATCGTTCTCTCTTATAGAAAGCGCAATATTTGACAGCATTCCAGAAGTCGTCAAGGACGCCTACATTGCTGCAAAAGCTGTTCGCGAGGTATGCCCAACACTGGTGAACAGTGAAGAGGTATTCTACAACAAGGCAAATCTTGACGCACAATCGTTAATCCCATCTTTTTGGCTCAAAATGGCTTTACTTCATGTGTTAGACAGATATGGCTTAGATGATGGGAGCAGCTTAACCATGTGGGTCAGACGAATTTACGAGAAAATACACCACTTTGTGTGTGACGATGAAGTGTTTCCATCCTTTTTCATACCACAGCAAGACTTTGTTGCTTCCTATTTGAAAGGAAGTGACCTGAAGACCTCCTTCGCGGGTGAGGAGCTGGAAAAGAAGTTCATGGCTTGTAAGAAAATGTGTCGACTGATCCAACGCTTTTTATCGAGTGACGAATGAACCTCGTCTCTTGTTGAAGCTATCACTTGACTTTGACTTCATTGTTTCGTCGCCCATTAACATATCTTTGGATAATCACATTCATACGGCCAGTGACACACGCTTGCTTGAAGCAAAAAATACTTGATTACACCACGTCAGGGTTTTCTTGACAGACGGAAAAGATAAGTCATTGATTCTGTTTTATTAGGTTCTTTCTACGGGAACATTTGCAACCTCAACTGACAGAAACTGATTTATCTCAGTTCTTGCCTTCATATTTGGATGTCGGCTCTGCTGAAACCTCTGTTCTCCATTTCCATCCAAAGATACATCATATGTGGGCGTTCTGCTTAATACCTTGGCTGTGTGACAGAATCCCGGGCCCTTGATATGTTCCTGTAACTTTTAAGTACCAGTTTGTTCCTTTTACCCTCCAGGTTTGTCCGTATGGGTTGATAATATGCAAAGAGCGCAACTCCGAGACAACTGTCATCATCACATAATCTGAGATAGAGAGGTACCAGTCTAGCTGTTTTGCTTACAGCTACGGTCTCAAGGGTTTTTTTTATCCATTCTATAGGAAATGGTTGGCATGTCTACACAAGGTGATCTAACTTCGAGAGAGAGCAAGTTTGGGAGAATACGAAAGTTTATGTAAAATCAAGCTGCAGACGAGGCTTTACATAAGCACATTCATCCCAGTTCACTCAAGTTCACTCGAGTGTTTGCATGAGCCTATGTTTTACCACAAGGCAATAATTTAACCTCTATTTTGCGAAAGAAATGCGCGGCCTGTGTTTGCCGTATGCATTTCCTGGGGAGGGGACAAATCCCCGAAAATTTGGATGGGGTTTGTACCGCGCACTTGTTAAAACTCTTGTCCTACTTGAGACCAAAAATATTATACAGAAATGTAGAACGATTTTCCTTTCCTAATTTCAGATCAGACCCTACCTAAACACTGCTTCGGGTTGTGTAAACAATTGACAAGGCCCTCAAAATCCCAATTTAGCTTTTCTACAGAGCCTGAAATTTAGGTTGCTCATTCTTGTAAGGCTTGTATGAGGGCACTTAGCCTTATGCGAAAGATCTAGGTCACGAATTACAGGGCACGTTATGTTCAAACCGTCTATTATATCTTAAGGGGAGATGTTCAAAACTTCGAATAAAAGATATCGCGCAAAATTAATTTGCTACTTGAAAGAACTTTGAACCTGGCTATTGAAGTCATTGAGTGTGTCGTATATGATGTTCCCTTTGATCAGTCACATTTAAGTCACCAAAACAATGTCCTAAATTTCCGCCATCTTGTACTCTTGTCCCAGTAGTGTTTCTTTCTTTCTTTCCCGCTAAACTGATCGAAGAAAACGAAGAAAAAAAACCTCTGAGACCTGGATAAAAATCTCGCCACAGATAGTTGTTTTACTGTTGTCAAATTGAACTATCTGTGACGAGTGACGAGACCGTCCTGAAACGTAGCTCTATAAAGATCCGCTTATGGTTATTTACACGTGATTTACACGTGAAAATTCAATTCAGAAAAACAACCAATCACAGACACTACATGGATCTCCCTAGAGTTACGTCATCAGTATGGATGTCTCATACAGAAGAGAGATAGAAGTTTTTTTTATCTTGTTTTTTTAAATGTACATAGGTTTTGTGAATGTCAGTATTCATTTGCTGACTTCTTTTTATCTCATATATAATTTTTATGGGTGTAATGCCGACGAGGAAGCTGAAGATACTTGGAATAAACACGGATGACGAACTCTCCTTCAGCGATCATGTTAGCGACATATGCAAGAAGGCCAGCCAAAAAGTGTGTGTGTTAGCAAGACTTCGTAATCTCATTTCATGTGAGACTAAGCTCCACTTATATCTAACTGCAATAATCCCTAATTTAACATACTGCCACACAGTTTGGC